ACAAAATGCCTACACTATGGCACTGTAGCAGTGCTGTATTGTAGACTCATAGATTCATAGATTCATAGATATTTAGGCCAGAAGGGACCATTATGATCATCCAGTCCGACCTCCTGCACAACGCAGGCCACAGAATTTCACCCACCACTCATAAAAAAGACCTCACATCTATATCTGTGCTATTGAAGTCCTCAAATTGTAGTTTCAAGACCTCAAGGAGCAGAGAATCCTCCAGCAAGTGACCCGTGCCCCATGCTACAGAGGAAGGCGAAAAACCTCCAGGGCCTTCCAATCTGCCCTGGAGGAAAATTCCTTCCCGACCCCAAATATGGCGATCAGCTAAACCCTGAGCATATGGGCAAGATTCATCAGCCAGATACTACAGAAAATTCCTTCCCGGGAACAACCAGCAGCTCCTATATAGGAAACAGCATCTGAGACTAACTGAGAAGACTTATCACCTAAGGCCCTGATCCTAAGTAGTCTCACTGAAATCAAACTGAATTACCCATTCATGTGCTTACCTTTACTACCAGGAGTAGCTCAGTGGGACTACTCATGGTAATAAAGTTAAGCATAAGACAACTTTGCAGGATAAGGGTCTGAATCAGCAACATAAAATGGAACACAGGAACTGACATACTGAATCAGACCAGTATCATGTCTCCAATAACAGCCACTATCTCATGTTTTAAAGAAACCACACAGCAGGAAGTTATGGAATAACCTATCTGCATGAAGCATTTTATTCTAAACCCCACCTGTGAGAGTTAGATTTCTGTCCAAAAGCATGAGGGATTATATCCCTTCCGAATTTTTTTTTGTCTATTTTAATCCTTACTGTTGTAATGCTATATATCTGTGTTATCCATATGAATGTCCAGTCCTTTTTTGAATCCTATTAAGCTCTTGGCCACAACGATATCTTATGGCAATGAACTATATGGGGTAATTATTTGTTATGTGAAATTTTTTGTCAGTTTTAAATTTGCTGCCTCTTAATTTAACTGACTGTCCCTTTGTTCTTCCATTATGAGAAAAGGAGAATAAAAGTTCCTGGTCTACTTTCTTTATGCCATTGTGTTTTGTTTATCTTTTGTCACATCCCCACCTTGTTCATCTGCTTTCTAAAAAACTGTCCCAATTTTTTTTCCTGTTCTATCAATGGAAGTTTTCCCACTACTTCTAATCATTCTTATCACTCACTACTGAGTGCTCTCTTTTTCAGCTATATCCTTTGTGAGGTAGACTGACCATAACTGACCCACAGTATTTCAGGAAAGGAGTATACTTTGATTCTATAATAGCATGCTTTCTGTATTAGTGTCTTTATGCATCCCAATGTTCTGTTTTCCTTTTTGACCAGTACTGCACACTTTCCAGAAATCTTTTAAAGACAATCAAGAGCAACTAGTTTTTAAGGCAGCTGAGAATTGTACTCTCCATTCCCAGCTAGCAATGCAAACCCACAACAACTTGCACATGCTCCCAATCTAGCCACAAAGAATGCCACCAGCTCTATTTCCACCAACAGCATCCTATCCCCTCACTCAGTGCACTTAACCACTGCATGAACTGCACTGGCACATCTATTGCTTTGCAAACCAAGTAGATAGGGAAATACAGTACACCCACGTGTAAATGTTTTGATTCCCATGCCTGTTGCCAAAACATTTTGGTTCTAATTCAGCTTCTCTGTAACAGGACACAAAGGTTACAAGTTACTATATACAATAATCTGAGATACTGAATGCTTCTTTTTGCACAAAGCTATACTTAAAAAATTTGGACTCAATTAGCAAGGTTTCTATATCTGCATGTTTTCCAGGGGAGTTGGAAACTTTCATGGTAAATCCTTTATTGGCTATCTTATAAGATCTCAAAAATTACAGGGATTTTGTTCCCAGCACACTCATTCTTGGAATGTTGTCTACATTTCTCCAATTTGTTGAGGCACAAGGTGAGCAATTTTGGAGTTGTTGGAAAATATGCAATAGGAGTGTGGGGGGGAGGGGAAATCTAACTTCGCTGAAAGCTATACAGATTCCTAAAAGGTGTTACACCTTATAGATGTGCCCCACTCTCCTGGAAAGGCGTTAAACAACGGTAAGATTTGTGTTATTTCCCATTTAAGTGGGTGTAAAAATAATCAGGCTTCAGCGCTGTTGGTTCCCAAGGGTGCACAAGGCCCCGAATTCATTGTGCAGCGAACAATAGAAAGCTCCTCACCGCAAACACAGCAGGAGAGGGACTGTCGGAAGTAAGGCAGGAGCTTGGTGACCTCAGAGAAGGCCTGGGGGTCGCCGGGGTCGTAGTTGAGCACCAGGCGGCTCGCTGACACGTAGAGAGCAGTGGCATTCACCGGGTTCATCGCAGCCGCTCCAACGCCCTCGGCTCCGGGGTGAGAAGAAAGGGCGGCGGCTAGTCCGCGCCGGCCGAGAGTCAGCGGGGGTCCGGGGCCCCTGGAGCCGAGCGGCAGCCCGAGCGGGGGGCCGAGGCCGCGGCGCTGCCCGGCGCGGGCTGGGCGGGGCCAAGGGCCGCGCTGCGCCGGGCTCGCTCGTCGCCCCGCAGGGCCCGCCCGGCCCTCTCCGGCAGTGTCACGGGGCCGGGGCCTGGCTTGTCCGGCGGTGGCGAGGCTCCTCCTCCGCCTGTAGCGGGCCCGGCGGCGGCGCTATTCCAGGCTGCGGGCCATGCCGGGCCGCCCGCCCGCCGGGCCTGCTCCTGTCGGCCACACGCCCTCACCCGTCCCGCCTGCGGCTTAGCAGGGGCCCCGCATGGGGGCGCGGGGCGGGGAGGAACCGCGAGCCCAGCGCAGGGCGGCGGCGGCGGCCCGGGCCGCGGCTCCCGATCCAACAGCGGGGGAGGGGGCGGATGCACCGGGCCTCAGCACCGCCGCATCACCGCGCCGCTACCGCGGCCTCCTGCGCGGGGCCGATGGTTTCCCCCGCTGGGCCCTCGGCAGGATCCGCTGCGCGCCGCAATGTCAATAGCAACCGTTAGAGCCAAACCGTCACTGCGGAGCCATCGCTGCCACCGCCGCCTGGCTCCGCGCACGGCGCATGCGCGGCCCGGCCGCCGCTCTCCCCGCAGCAGAGGCCCAACCCCGGGGGGTGGAGGGGGTGGCCAGCGCCCCCTAGCGGTACCCGGCCATGCCGAAGGAGCGAGCGCCGGGGAGAGCCCCTGACAGCTCGGAGGTCTCCCGGCCCGTCACAACACGGACTCCCGCCCCGCCCACATCCCCACCCTGCATGGCGCAGTACAACACGGACCCTTGCTCAGCCTGGCTGAATATAGTCAGAGCCTGGCACAGCACGGAGCCCTGCCCGGGTCAGCCCAGCCCTTAGCACAACCCAGCACAGACCCTACTGGCCTCCAGCCCATCGCTGCATAGCCCTCGCCGCCAACCAGCCCGGCTCAGCACAGCATAGGACAGACCCGCCCTCTTACCCCTGCCTACCTTGGCTGAGCTCAGCATGGACCTCCAGCTCGGCCCCCAGCGCAGCCTCCCACCTGACTCTGCCCAGCACAGACAGCACTCTGTCCAGCCCCGCTCAGCACAGCGTGGGATGCACCTATGCCCAGCCCCACCCAGCTCAGCCCACCACAACCCTCACCCCAGCACGGATCCCAACACAGATCCCCCACTCAGCTCAGCCCAGCCCACCACAACCCCCCATCCAGCACGGATCCCAGCACAGATCCCCCACCCAGCTCAGCCCAGCCCCCCACAAACCCCCCACCCAGCACAGCTCAACACAGACCACTGCCAGTCTCAGCCCAGCCCCCACCCAGCGTGGCTCAGTACAGTCCAGCCTGGACACATACACCCACACCCTCCTCAGCTCAGCACAGCAGAGCCTGGACTCCAGCCCTGCTCAGTCCTTGCCCAGCTCTGCTCAGCACCCCACCTCCAGCATGGGTCAGGACAGACCCCAGCACAGCCAAACTCAGACCACAACTCGGCATCGTCCAGCATGGATCCCCCTCAGCACATACCCCTCCTCAACCCTGTCCAGCCCAGAATGTATCCGATGCACATCCCAGCTTAGTACAATGTTGTACCACTCAGCATGGCTCAGTACAGCCCCAGCCCGCCCACATCCTGGCTCACTAGAGCTGAGCACAGGCCCGCAGCCTGGCTCAGCACAGCCCAGCTTGGACCCCAACCCAGCATGGCTCAGCACAGCCAAGCATAGGCCCCCACCCAACACAGCTCAGTACAGCCAAGCATAGGCCCCCACCCAACACAGCTCAGTACAATTCAGCACATACACACCCCACCTGGCTCAGCACAGCAAAGACTGGACCTCCCCATCATCCAGCCTGGCTCAGCACAATTTAGAACAGACCCCACCCCAGCATGGCTCGGCTCAGCTCAGCCCAGCTCAGCAGGGACCCCGCCTGGTGTAATGTCAAAAACTGCTGTCATCACACTTTGCTACTGGTAGTAGTTACTGACATCTATGGGTGGTTTGGTTTTGCTGCCATGCCACAATTTGTCACCTCCCACTGTTCCCATCCTCTGATCCAGGGGTAGCAAATTGTGATAGATGGTTGCTGCCTTGTCACAATTTGCTACTATCTAGGTATTTTTCAAATGTTGACAACTTCTTATAACAGGATATATAAACAAGAATAGCTTACTTTACATGTCAACATTATTTCAAAATCAAGCATCTAAACCCATTTTTAGAAACAGTGATTAATATATATTTTCCTTTACTCAAATGAACATTAAAATTGAACTTCTCTATTACACATTTGTATTCCAACAGAATAATTCCAAGAAAATCAAAATATTTACCATAAGAAAATAATCATACTATATACATTTTTTGTAAACATCCCAACTATACACACTTTCTGCAGTCATACTCTTTCTTATCACTTAGGATGTTTTCACTGGTTCCCTCTGGAAGGTAGGGCACATATGCTCACCTCTTACAAGAGTCAAACTGTACCTTTGGTAAGTAATAGATGAAAAAATGATGACACAGAACTAATTATGCTAAATATAATTTCAATTAATTCATACAATTATAAAATAATATTCCTTGAACATATAATCATTAGTCAAAGTTAGTCAGCAACACTGGAAATATTTACTAATGTGGAATTATTACAACAATCCTGGTCCTTAGCAAAGTTATTCCATCAGGTTAGACCTGGCTGGGTCTTGGGCCATGACTTTTGTTCATGTGCTATAAACAATCATACAGTATTCTGTTTACTTATCTGTTCGAACATGGTGTTAACTATGCAATTTTCATTTTTGCATATGACAAGGTGCAGTACTCCTTCATGCTCTCTGTAAAATCAATATAATGTAATCAAATGATGATTACCTTATGACCAAAACTCTAAATAGAAATCTTGATTTATTCATGAATGTCAATTATATCAAGTATTAAGTTACTGATTTGCAAATATTTTTCTTTTTTGGGGGTCATATTTTAAATTATATTTGGTACCCTTGTCTATTTATCTCAAACTTTTAGTTGACTGCTGGTGGATATAACTATATCCAATTAGATTTCATTGCTCTTTCAATGTCAACCATCTATGCACTCCCCATTTTTCACTAATCAAAGACATTATTCATGCAGAGAGACCCTTAGAGAATCAAACCTGTGACATAACCTACTGATAACTTTGTGATATGACATTATTCCACTCTTCCTGTTATCTTCCCATATACTCTGGTCTCACTAGGTACTAGGTACTGGTAACAAAGTTATTACCTGACTCTTTAATTAAAAGAATGGTGATTTTTCTTCTATACATAGTTAGAGTCTCTTGTGTGGTTTCCATAGTACTGATGTCTTTATGCTCTAAATATGTTTCTGCAAACTAATACTTTTAATTAGAAAACACATCATAATTACACATCATTAAGAAATAATCAAAATTTGACACTGAATAATTTTAGAATGAGGTGGCCCACTGTTGTGTCCAACTGCTTGTCTCCTGTGTTCCACAATTTTTATTTTCCAGAGTCCCATTGTGGATTTTCCAGCTTTGCAGTAGATGAACCATCTGAAATGTATAAGGCATATAAGTAGCCAACTTTATAAGTGGGTTTCATTTTTTCATACAGGTACTCTAGATGTTCAGTAATCCTTTATTTTTCTATTTAATGAATGGTTGCAATTACTTCATGCTCATAGTATATATATCACACACACACTCGGTTTCATATTATTGGTATAGAGTCTTTTGCTATACATCATTTGATTTGCTATGTCATGTGTTGCTAATACCACCTTCACACTCATGCTAAAGGCTAGTATTTTGAGTCCACATTCAATGAAGTAGTTAGTCCATGCTCAAATCCTACAAGTTCAGTCAATGTCCAGTACTAAACAGAGTAAGTACAAGAATGTGTTGTTTCCATTTTTATTTGTAGCTGTCAGTATCATATTGTCTTCATTGTTGTTATAGGATATTTATTGAAAATAGTTTCAAACTAACACTACCTGTAAACTGAAAATAAGTATCTAAAAATCACCTCCAATTCCTCAGGAAGGTTCTTTCACATCTCTTGTCTCACCACAGAAGGGCTCAATTATTAACAATTCTTTTGATTCCATGAATGTTATGTGCAAATTTAAAATATATACATGTGTTATTGGTAATATGATCATTTCAACAATTTTATAATGATTTTTCAAAACACTGCATGCGGATACTCTTATGTGTAATATCTCACTAATACACAAGAGAAAATCATATTGTGAATTTCTTGGTGTATTTTTTAAATATACATTACCAATATAACAACAAATTCTTCAGACTAGCATTTTATTTTTTAAACTGCAATCTTCAGCATTTCAAGCCTTACATTGAAGATCCATTTTCATTTGAATCTATTAAATTTATTGAAAACCCACAAAATACAGGAAATTATATCATAGCTGTATTTGAATCCTATTATGTAGTACTACATTAGTGGATACAATCCCAAAGTATAACAATGGAAAACATCTTACTGCAATAACCCAAATGACCTGGTGCATTGTAAAGAAGAAATAATACATCATTTTGCATTCCAGTCTGTGTTCTTTGAAAAAAAGAAAAATGCAGTTATACTTGTCAATTAGGCAAACCATGCAATCTAGATTACACTGTGTAGTCTTCTTTTTGTATTTAAATTTAATTTAGTAATTTTGTATTACACTATCATGGCTTCAGCTCCTGTTGCTACAGTTTCAAGCTCAAAGTGAACATCACCTCTGGTGCTTTTCTCAAATTTGGAGACTTTAGAAACGCACAAAGTCCAAGGATATTGACTACAGACATACTCACAAGTTTTATCTGTACTACAAGTTTTATTAAAGCAATAAGTAAAGTTACAATTACCCATGCATATGTAAATCCTACAAAAATGCATGCAGTGACTACGAATTTAGTCATACTCACATCCTCAAAGCTATCCTAAGGAAAACCCTCTTTTCCTTATCTGTACTTCCACACCCCAGGAATATTGGGGTGCCTCATTTTTTATAGGTTGGTCTTAATTCCTCTTATTCTCATTAGCATCTGTGCCTAACATATACCCTGCAGTCAGAACAGGACTTTTCATGATGTTACAATCAGGGGTCTCGTGATCTTGGACAATAGCTTGCAGTTTATTTAAATCTATTTTTTCATAACATTACCTTTTGGCACATCTTTTGCAGTAATCTCAAGACCTTACTGATGTAGGGTTATTCTAAATCACCCACTCATGTCAAGCATGCTTAAGCCTATGGCCTAGTAACTTAAATCTATTTAGCATTTATTATGTATGAAATAGCATATGAATGGACCAGAACACCACATTACAATGATAAATAAATGATAAAATGAACTAACTGGCTACAGCTGTATTTCCCAATTTCAGTACATGCTTACCATATTTACTCATTCCTCTATATAGCACCGTTTGCGCTACTACTTAGTCCTTAAGTACTGATGATACTTAAATACACTTACTGTATAATTCTCTGAGCCCTTGTATGGAATGTTGCTTCAAAGCCATACTACAGTTGAAAGCGTGACATTTTTGTTCTCATCTGCTGTTTAGATTTCAAAGAAAATAAAAGGTTATCAAAAAATTTATCCCAATTACTCCCAGTGGTATCAACCAACTTCTGCAGTGCTCTGTAAGAAATGGTGATTGATTAGTTTGTGAAAACAAATAGTAAACATGATGTCTTGATTGAGATAGATTATATGGAATCAAGAAGGTCTAAGGAGGAGAACACCACAGTGCTGGCTTCGATTATTTTTCATTTCACATGTAATACAATAAAAAGACTTGCAATGTAATAAATTGACCCTGAAGAGGTATTACCAATATGTAGCTTATGGTCTGGTGCACGCTACTTTTGTTTAGTATTTAAATTTTCCCCTCTAAAATTTGATGGATTTGTTGGTGTTTTCATCCAGTCCATTGGTTTGTGGGAGGTATGAGCTGATGAAGCTATGTTATACCCCCATTTTTCCCCACAAAGGGCCAGGTTAAAGTGAAAGAAAAAAAATGCCATAAAGTTTCCTTTGGAAATGTCTGCATGTATGTTCCTTCTCCTATTTTCAACTGATTTTACATGTAATTACTGTGGTTTCCTATTCTATCTTTTAGAATGACTACATGGAAAAGTAAGTTTGCAATCAGTTTGTTATAAAAAAAATTGGTGAATAAATAGACAGAAAAACGTGTCAGGAACAATTTACAGTAAAAAAAATTATAATAATGAAGACAATGAAGCCCATAGTCAGTGTCAAATATCCATGATCCAATAGTGTGGTTGAAGAAATAGTGAAAAAAATCTCAAAAATAAATCATTACCTCATTAGTGAATCCAGAACCAAGATATGTCAGTATCCACTATAGATATCCAAATCAATTTATAATTTTACCGATTTTCTTTGCCACTTCATGTGCTGACTTATGCCACCCATTTTGTAAGATAATCCATGACTGCCAAGATGTACTGGTATCCCTTGTTTGTTGTTGGTAATGGCCCTATTACATCCACGCCCACCAATTCCCAGGGCCTATTGTCACGGTAAAATTACCCAGTGGGTCCCCTGGGTAAGCATCAGCATTGTATATTGCTAATGCTTTTATATGCATTGGAAAGGATCTTGGGAGGGGTTGAAGGTGTGAGTGTGGAGTGAAAGATTTCTTTGCAGGTTGTGAGAGGCCGAAGGGGGAGGAAGGGAGAAAGGAACAGGTTAATTCGACACTCCAGGTAGGTTCGAAGATAAGATGCTGACTCCAGCCCAAGGCCACAGCACACAACCAACTCTCGGCTGCCTGCCAAGAAAGACAGGAGCCTGGATTCCAACCCAGTCCAGCCGTGAGAGAGGAGGATTCAGCTGAATAGAACTGCAGGGGCTGCAAAAGCCAGTGAGACAGCGAAGGTCAGTGAGTGGGAAAATAACAGAAGTGTGTCCCTGAAGCTGGTGTGTTTTGGAAAAGCTGAGGAAGCCACGGAAAGCCGGTTTGGACAGGTACAATGAGCACGGGGGACAGAGGTCCCTGAACAAAACACCCCCAAAAGACCCCAGGACTTAAAACCCTCCTGAGAGCTGAAGCAAATTTGAGATCAACAGCGGACCCTGGACGGCCTGTGTACAGGACAGAACTCTCGTCCACCCTTCCCCATTTTCTTCTGACATTACACCCAGGCTTGGCCAGCCTTGGGTTGTGCATGTGAGAGTATGAAAGTGGTTAGGGCATGGGCACTAATGCTTTCTTTCTTCCCTTGAATGATGTGGGGAGCCCCCAGCGCTCACCACTGTTATTTTATTAATAAAGCTTTAAAACTTAGTTACTTGGTGTGCTCCTTCATCTCCTCCCCTATTGATCCTGCGGCCTCAGCCTGATCACCTGACGCTTCAGGCAGATTGGTATCTGGTTTCTATGATTGATAATCTAAAAGCATCTTCTGATAGATTATTGTTTTATTAATCACAGAAAACATTTTCCCCATATCAATTACAAGTGGTCCCTTTTGGGGTATTGGGACTAAGTCAGCTAAGTCAGAGTAAAATCAAAGTGGATGATTAAGTACAATCCTACTGATTGGTTACAGACCTTTTCCTGATTACAGGTTGAACTTCTCTAGTCCGGCAACATCCGTGGTCCAGCATGGTTTTAGTTAGCCGAATGTGCGCTTATCATGGGTGGGGCCAAGATTCCCATGGTCCAGCGAAGTCCCGCCAGTCCTGGCTCTCAGTGTTCTGTGCTGTTATTTAGCTCTAATTTACCCCTAAATATGTCCAGCAAGCAGTGGAAGTGTTGGTAATGCTGCTAAGCGTAAGCATGTGTCAATATCCACACAGCAAAAGGTGGAAGTGCTGCAGAAATTGGAAAAGGGCACATCGGTACGTGCCTTGTGAGAGTTTTACAATGTAGGGTCATTTACAGTGTATGATTTGAAGAAGCAAAAGAATCAAATCCTTAAGTTTTTTGCCGAACATGACAGTAAAAAGAAGTATGAGTGTTCATAAGACATTGAAGGAGGGGAAAAGCAGTGATTTAGATAGTACGCTTATACATTGGTTCAAGCTTTGTAGGAACGAAGGTGTTAGAATTTCAGGTGAAATGATGGTGGCACAAACAAAAATATTCCACAAAGAACTTAACCTGCAGCATGAGTGTGACTATTTGCAAGGATGGATTCAGAAATTTAAAAACAGGCATGGCATTCATCTACATGGTGTGTGCAGTGAAAAAAGAAGTGCAGATATGGAAGCTGCTGCTAAGTACATTGACAAATTTGCAGTTACTTGCAAATGAGACGTTATTCCCAGAGCAGGTATAGAATGCCGATGAAACTGCTCTCTACTGGTGTTGTATGCCTAAAAAAAAGTTGGCTTCTGATGCAGAGGGGCCACCATCTGGTTACGAAGTAGTTGAAGGACAGGGTAACTGTCCTTGGTTGTAGCAACACAGCAGGCATGCACAAATGCAAGCTCATGGTTACTGGAAAATGTGTAAACCCAAGGGCATTCAAAGAGGTGAAAATATTCCCAGTAATATACTGTGGCAAGAAAAAGGGATGGATAACGATTAATCTATGTCTCAAGTGGTTTGAGAAATATTTTGTACCGGAGGCAAGAGCCCATTGCTCAAAGATAATGTGGTGGGACTGTATTTACCCCCAAACGGTACCTCGCTGATTCAGCCTTGTGATCCCTGAAGGGTATGTACAGGTCCAAGTTTATGCACCAATTGCTAGTACTGCTTAATGATGGGAAGAGTTTGAGAACATTTAGGAAAGAATTTAACCTCAAGGATGTGATTTGGACACTAGCTAGAGACTGGGAAAGAGTAACTCCATCTACTCTGAAGAATGGATGGCACAAATTGTGGCCAGCCCTAATATTTTAGGACAGTCCTGATGTCAATGACGAGTCTGAGGTCACTGGATTTCAAGTGTCTGAAAACCAAAAAACTGTTAGTGAGTTAATGGAGTATGCCAGTGGTATGTCCCACACTGTAGTGCTTGAGCTACCAAGGATTTGGCAGAGGAAAATTTACTAGACTGGGTGGAAGCTAACAAAGATGCACCAATTGCTAGTCAAATGACGGTTGAAGAAATTGTGCAAATGGTACAGCAGGGAAAAAACAAAGATAACAAAGAAGACAGTGATGGTGATGAGGATGTCGAAGAAAAAATTTCTATCGATAAATGCATTCAGTTGGCAACAAATGTAATAGAAGGACTGGAGCAAAGACATTTCATTTCTGAGCAAGAAATCATGTCTCTCTACATGATAAGAGAAAAACTCATTAAAGAAAAACCAAAATACATGAGACAAGCCAAGCTGGAAGATTGGTTAAAGGTAGTGAAGAGGAGTGGTAAGCAGCATTCTACAGTCGAAAATCATGTTGTCTCCACTTCATCTACCCTGGGTATACCTATAGCAGAGACCCCAGATGTAACTCGCATGTAATTTGAGTTAGCAGTTCTTGTCACATCACTTTGGAAGTGGAATTCAGGCATCATTTTAGGTGAGTAAATTATAGATTTACGTGTACTATCATCTATTTCTTTTTCATATTATTTTATGTTTTTTACGCTTTATATACTTATTTTCTTGTGCCAATACAGTAACATTGTGCAACAACACTAACACTTTGCTATGAAGAGAGTCGGTAAGCCTTGGCTAGGTGGCATTGCAAATTTTGTTCCGTTTATTTGCCTCGGTGAGATAAAAATTTAAAGAGACCCCCTCGCTATAATATTAACCTCCTGTGGTTTGGCAAATTCTGTGGTTTGGCACTGGTCAGGTCCTGAGGGTACCGAACTAGAAAGGTTCAACCTGTATTAGTTTAACACAAAGCACTAGGGTCAGTTTAGGTTGAACCTAAGATGATCTTTAAGACAAAGAATTACGAACACAAAACATAGTGGGACTTTGGCTCACCTACAAAGTTTCAAAGGGTTATGGTAGTTTGGTTCAAAACACCTCACTGTTTCTCTGAGTTGGGGTGCAGCTATTGGACAGGGGTCAAAGGATCTCTCTCTCAAGCATAAAACTGTACTTTGGAACAGAAACCCTGTTTGTGATTTCTCTCGCTGGCTATGTGACAAACTACTCCTGCCAACCATTGTGATACATGACCAGGAACACCACTCCACTGTAACATAGCTGCTCTTCGCTCCAGGAACTGCTTGTGAGTTGAGTTATGGGAGGGGGGGAAGTAACAGCAATAGAAATATTTGTATACCAGGGAGTGAGGACATCAAGGAGATGATTACAGTGGAGGGCCCTGGGTACAGTACTGGGGGAGGGAGCCAGGTTGAAGAGGGGAACACAGTGAATAGCTCAGGGACTTGGCTTCTGAGGTGGGGCCAAACCAGGGCTGGTGGGACCCAGCTGATGGGAGGGGAAGGCTAATTGGTTCAGTGTGCAAGTTACAGGACATGACACGTACAACTGTCTAAATTTCTACTAACTCCCACCAGCAACATATCTTTCCCTGTTCAAAAAGCTAGGAAATTTAATGGTAAAAAACAAAAACAAAAGTCAAACAATGTTACTGTGACAGATTGGATCACAGAAACCCCCTTGGGGCTGCCAACTGATGTGCCAAGACTTCTGCCCCTGCTTTCCCTGCCAGCTTGGGACTCCAGCACCCTGTCTTGTTGAGCCAGACATGCCAGTCTGCTCCAACACAGACCCGGGGTCTGAACCATGTGACCCAAAGCTGCAGACTTAATTGAAAGCAGCTTAAGTGTTCCTTTCTTTAACATTCAGATGCTCAACTCCCAATGGGGTCCAAACCCCAAATAAATCCGTTTTACCCTGTATAAAGCTTGTACAGGGTAAACTCATACATTGTTCACCCGTTATAACACTGATAGAGAGATATGCACAACTGTTTGCCCTCCCAGGTATTAATACATACTCTGGGTTAATTAATAAGTAAAAAGTGATTTTATTAAATACAGAAAGTAGGATTTAAGTGGTTCCAAGTAGTAACAGACAGAAGAAAGTGAATTACCAAGCAAAATGAAATAGAACACGCAAATCTATGTCTAATACAGTAAGAAAACTGAATGCAGATAAAAACCTCACCCATAGAGGAATTCCAGTAAGCTTCCTTTTACAGACTAGTCTCCTTCTAGTCTGGGTCCAGCAATCACTCACACCCCCTGTAGTTACTGTCCTTTCTTTCAGTTTCTTTCTAGTATCCTTGGGGAGTGGAGAGGCTCTCTCTTTAGCCAGCTGAAGACAAAATGGAGGGGTCTCCCACGAGCTTAAATAGACTTTCTCTTGTGGGTGGAGACCCCTCCTTTCTCCTATGCAAAGTCCAGCTCCAAGATGGAGTTTTGGAGTCACATGGGCAAGTCACATGTCCATGCATGACTCAGTTTTTACAGGCAGCAGCCATTGCTTACATGCTACCTTGAACGTCCTCAGGTAGACTTCCTATGTGGATTGGAGCCTTCCAAGATCCATTGTGCATTAAGTGCTTCTTGATTGGACACATAGCTTGCAAATTCCTTCCTAAAGATGCTGACCAAATGCCTTACTAAGGTTATTTAAAATCAAACAAGTATACAGCCAATATTCATAACTTCAAATACAAAAATGATACATGCATAAAATTGGATGAATAGATTCAGTAGATGATAACCTTTACAGAGATATGTTACATGGCATATGTAGCATAAAACATATTCTAGTTATGTCATATATACATTCATAAGCATATTTCCATAAAGCCTTATGGTAGGCACTGTCACAGTTACCATCTAGATAAGGTTGTGTGGCAGTGTGTTGTCCCCTTGTAGAATCTAAGTCTGGGGTTTAGGCCCATGCCTTGGTTTCCACAACTGTAGTACAGCATTGATGATATGTGCCTCCTTTGTAAAGCACTTTGAGAGCTCCAGATAGAAAGTGCTATACAAGAGCTATGGTAAAAGTATTTTCTTTTTAAACCAACTGTTCTACCAGTGACTGGATTTCAAATGAAAAGCAAGTACACTTTGAATATTTGTCCCTATGGGTGCTCCAATGTAGGAGGTGTGCATGCCTGTGCACTCTAAACTGGAGATTGTAAATAGTAACATCTGCAGGTCTGTACCTGCACAGAGCATCACCTTGTGCTCTGATGCCAGGGCATGTAAGGAGGCATGGACCTGCCACCATTCAGCTCCTTCTTAAATGTCTGTGGCTTGAGACAGCAGTTGTGCTGTCCACTGCTTACACCTTTCTCTTACTCTTTTTGTTTATTGTTATTATTTTAGTTATTTTTTCTCCAGCACCCTCCCGCCCCCATCTTCTTGCCTTAGTGCTTTTGGCATTTCCCTGGGCTATGCCTAAAACCTGAAGGTAAAAGCCCTGCCAGACCTGCCACAGGTCTTTTCCCTGTAGCAATGAGCACACTAGTTGTCTCTGGTGTTTCAGAGATGCTCATGTTCCGTTGGAGTGTAATGTCTTCACAGGGTTCAAAGGCTGGTCTTGTAAAACTAAAGAGGCTAGAATGCTCCATAGCTCTCTCCCTCCCGCCCCTTCACATCTGCCACTATCTCTCAGGCCACTCTGTCGACTTCTGGAGCCTCAGAGGTGGTTCCAAAGATGAAGACCTCTAAAAGGAAGAAGACCCACTTACCTGTCAGCAACTCCAGAAAGATGGGAAGGTCACCTCACAAACCAACTCTTGGGAGACCTTGCATTCCATAATGGGTACTGCTGAGGGTCTGGCTGATGCCTAAGAAGCCCCGCTTGGAGAGGCCTTCTAGAAGCTCCTGCCTTGGCACATCTCACATCTCTCAGCACTAGGCACAACTAAAACTAAAGGGTTCCAGTACCATCATCATCTTGGAGCTACTAAGATGACCATGTGGCGTTCTCCCCAGTGCCGTCTTCTTTGGAACGTCAGTGCTCCAAGCTCAGAGACAGCATCACATCAGGCTCTCCGGTACCATATGCAACAACTCCAGCTCTGCATCAATCCCTGTTTTGGGCTCTGGTTCCAGCTCAGGCTATGACTGCACACTATCACAGTTCTCCAGCACCCTCCAGATGCTTTTCCCAAGACTCTCCTCCTCTTGGAGGAACCAGAGTCCCCTCTCTTAAGGAGACCCACAAGGGCCCCTTCACCAGTACTGCCTTGATAGCTGGTGACTAAGCCCTCCCACATCAGATGGGGATCTGATCCCCTGCCGCCGGTACCAGCACCAATGTCTGAACCACCCTTTCAGCTCAGAGGATAACACATCCTCAGACTCTGGGGTCTCCATACAGGACTCTGTTTCGGCACTATATCACCATAGTCCTCCAGGGGCCTACCCTGAAGAGGACTTCCCAGAGCCCATCGGATGTCCTAGCTCCCTCAGAAAAGTATCCTTGAGGACATTTCTCTGACCTAGCTCCTCAGAGGGCTTGCTGGAACCTCTGGATTATGGTGACCAATTTTACGAAGTATGAGCTTAGAAGAAATACCACCACTTGCTGGTACTGCAACACTTGTAGGCACCACAAGATCGCCCGCCAGTACCATTCACCCCTCAGCACCTGAGGAGACCAAGAGGAGCAGAAGCCATCGAACAAAGAAGATTCACCCTTTTTGGCCAATTCCTCCTCCTTCCCTGAGGAGGTAACACCACCATCACTTTCCTACATTGACAACTTTAGGTCCTTTCAGGACTTAATGAAGCATGTGGCAGAATCCCTCTGTCACACTGTCGGCTTACAAGGAAGAATACCAATCTCAGGGTAGACAGGTAAGAGGGAGGGCACAAACCCCAAACTGGTTGTGAGTTCACCAACCAAGTAACAAGTGTAAACTCCTCAGGCACTGTAACAGCCTTAGCATGGAGTCACAGACAGTCCCCTTAGGCCTTCTGATCTATCTAGCTAAAGCTTCCCTGCAGGCTGCTCTTGATGCTGCCATCATGGTGTCACAATCCTTAGCCACACAGTGGTTATATGGCAAGCACCCTGGCTCCAGTTTTCTGGTCTCCCAGGAGGTGCAAAATACTGTGGAGGACCTCTCTTTCAAAGGGCCCAAGCTCTTCAGCGACGACATGGACTCCTTGTTCCACCTACTTAAAGCAGCAGGGCAACACTGCTGTCACTGGGAATATACATCCCTACCACAAAGAGAAGTTTCAGCAGGTCTCCCAACCATAACAGTACCTCCCACAATCGGCCTACCCCAGATCTTCCAAGACTCTTAAGAAGAGATCCAGACCCCAGAAGATCTGCACATCCCTCTAGACCATTATGACAATTTGGACAAGAGTGTCAAACAACTTCCCCCTCCTGATCCACTGCTGCACAACTCTTATCATCTCATTCCCCACTTTTGGAGACTGCCTGTCCCGCTTCCTACCTACCTGGAAGCACATCACCTCAGACACCTGGATCCTGGAGGTGGTTGATATGGGATATGTGACAACCGTCACATGGTACACCAGTTAAATGTTGGTGTTTTTCATGCTTTGTGCAAATTCACTAACATACCAATGTCATCAAGTGGCCGCTGGCTGTATTACTGATCTCCCAGTGAAAATAGAAAGGGGTAAATAACATTTCCTTATTCACTTTCTCCACACCATTCATGATTTTATAGACCTCTATCATATCTGCCCTTGGTCGTCTCTTTTTAAAAACTGAACAGTGCCAGTCTCCTCATATGGAAGCTGTTCCATATGCCTAATCATATTTGTGGTCCTTCTCTGTAACTTTTCCAATTCGAATATATCATTTTTGAGATGGGGGTGACCAGAACTACATGCAGTATTCATGGTGTAGGTGTACGATGGATTTCTATAGTGGCATTATGATATTTTTTATCTATCCATTTCCTAATGATTCCTAACATTTGTTAGCTTTTTTGACTGAGGTTACATGCTGAGCAGATGTTTTTAGAGAACTATGCACAACGACTCCAAGATCTTTTCTGAGTGGTAACAGCTAGTTTAGAGACCCCATCATTTGTATGTATAGTTGGGATTATGTTTTCCAGTATATATTACTTTGCATTATCAACAACTGAATGGCATCTGCCATTTTCTTGCCATCACCCAGTTTTGTGAGGTCCCTTTGTAATTCTTTGCAATAAACTTTGGACTTAACTTTCTTATATAATTTAGTATCATCTGAAAATGTTGCCACCTGCTTACCCCCTTTTTCCAGATCATTTATGAATATGTTGGTCCCAGTGCAGATCCCTGCGGGACCTCACTATTTACCTTTCTCCAATGTGAAAAATGACCATTTATTCCTACCTTTCATTTCCTATCTTTTATCCAGTTACTGATCCATGAGAGGATCTTTATTTTTATCCATGATTCCTTACTTTACTTAAGAATTTTTGGTGAGGGATATTGATCAAAGGAAAGTCCAAGTACACTACACAGACTTGATCATCCTTGTCCAAGCTGCATGCTGACATCCTCAAAGAATTCTAATAGATTGGTGAGGCATGAGGAGACTGGAACTGTTCAATTTAAAAAAGAGATGACAAAGGGGAGATATGACAGATTTATAAAAATCATGATTTCCCTTTACAAAAACCATGTTCACCCGTCACCAACATTCTGTGTTCA